AGAGGGTCTTCCCCTCCTGCGCCGTCCCTCCACCCTCCCAAGCATGATGTCCCTCTCCAAGGACCCGTCCCTCCTGGCAACATGTCCAAAGTATGTCAGACGAAGCCCCAGAATCCTTGCCTCCAAGGAGTAGCTTGGTTTAATCCTCTCCAGGATGAATCTGTTTGTTTTCCTGGCAGTCCATGGTACATTCAGTACCCTTCTCCAGCACCACAGCTCAAAAGCATCCACTCTCCTTCTGTCCTCCCTAGTCATTGTCCAACTCTCTGATGCATAACAAGCGATTGCAAAGACCATGGCCTGTATCAGGCGCACCTTAGTCTCCAGAGAGACACTGTTGCTCCTGAGTACCTTTGAGAGGTCCCTAACAGCAGACTTTCCCATCGCGATACGCTTTTTGATTTCCTGACTGCTGGTGCCAAGAGTGTTGACTGTGTGTTGTATAGTGATTAATATTATCACACTCATTGCTGTTGAGTCAGAACTGACTCATAGCTGATCCTCCAGCAGGTATTCAGAGGCTAAATCACATGGGAGGAGATTGCCCATCTTTCTTGGAGCAGTGGGTAGATTCAAACTACCTGCCACTGGGGTGGCAGTACAACTCCTTATCCACTAGGCCACCAGAACTCCCTCTAAGAGGTATTAGCATTAATCAAATGTTTTGTTTGTTTGTAGTGTTTACCACAAATGACTGTGGTATAACTGATTTCATAAGAAAATGGTCTCAGAGACTGTGGTGTCACCATAACTAGCTGAAGATTTTTCTCCTTTCATTTAATTACTACCTCATTCTCAAAAAAGTTCTTGATATAATATGTGCTTGTAACATATGCAGATGAAACCAAGTGATTTATAGTCAATGTAATTCTGTAATAAAGACAGCTCTGACCTAAGTAGATTATTATTAAGTGCCATAGTCAATATAACTAAGTTTCTTAGTCGACTAAGACTCATAGCAACCTTATGAATAACAGATCAAAACCTAAGTCCATCCTCAAATTTCTGACATGCTCTATTCCATTGTTACAGACACTGTCAGTCTACATAGTTGAGGGTCTTCTTTTCCTTCTCCGGTGCTTCACATTTCTCAGCATGAGATCTTTTTCCAAAGACTAGCTGCTTCTGACAACATGCCCAAAGTATGAGAGATGAAGTTTCACCATTTTTTAAAAAATTTTATTATTTTTGTGTTTGTGTGCCGTCAGATTGGCTCTGACTGATACAGGAGGAGATTGCCCCTCCTTCTCCAGCAGAGCATCTGGTGGATTTGAACCATGTACCTCTGTGATTGCAGTGCAGCTTCTTGACACTAGGCTACCAGAGCTCCCATGTTTCACCATTTTTGCTTCTAAGGAACATCCTGGTTGCTGGATATTCGGTACTCTTTGAGAACATGACAATTCAAAGGCATTGATTCTTTTTCTGTCATCTTCATTCATTGTTCAACTTTCAGATACGTACGAAAAAATTGAAATGCAGAAATTATCAAATGGTTATCTGAGTGAAGGAATTGGCTGACACAGAAGAATTTCATGAAATAACATATGAGCAAGAGCCTATGCTGATGAAAGAGGAAGTTCAAATTTCTCTGAAGGAATTGGCAAAAAGCAAGGCTCCCTGGAGTTGATGGCATACCAATTGACATATTTCAACAGACAGACACCGCCCTGGGTATGCTCACTAAGTCGTGCCAAGAAATCTGGAGGACAGCCAGCTGGCCAACTGACTGGAAAAGATCGATATTTGTTCCCATTCCAAAGAAAGGTGACCCAACAGAGTGCGGGAATTAACGAACAATATCATTAACATCACATGCAAGCAAGATTCTGCTGAAAATTATCCAAAAACGTTTGGAACAATAGGTCAACAGAGAACTGCCAGATGTGCAGGCTGGATTTAGAAGAGGT